AATTACTGCCAACACTCAGCAAGAGTTGACTGCATGCGTTTAAAGATACAGATCAGTCTTTGAACAAAATTTAGACATGGAACGGAATCATGAGTCATGTCGATGGATACGATGTTTCCCATTTCCACTCTTTCGGCGTTTCCTATTAGCATCTCTTCTGAACGCAACATTTCCTGGGTCATCCGCAAGTTGAGGATAACGATGTAAAGTGTGCAGTTCTACACCTTCCCATCCACCAACAACACCATTTGAAATGAGTTCTTCTCTTTCTTCTGGAGACCAATCACCACGTCCGCGGAATCCAGCAGATACAATTGCTTTCTCCAACTTCCATGCTTGTTCAACAGCCCGCTTGTGTGCATGCTTAAGAATTCTCTGCCGTTCTACATCTGGATCAGTTCCATAGCTGAAATAGAGCAAAAATTGTAATAACATTTCTATAACATATAGTCAGTTATTTTCACTGAGCAGATAGTTTTTTTGAAGCCATACCGAATGAATACTGCAGCATCTGGATTGTGCAATCTTAACTCCTTTGTTCCGCTTTGACCATGATCAGCAGTTTCATGAGTTGACACATTAAACATTGCACCCAACCGCCTCAATTCCTCCATGTCATCACGAATTTTTAGTGGATTGTCCTTGAAATTGAATAAATAAAAATAGAATGTTACTCTCCATAAGTTCTCTGTTCCAATAACAATGACAAAAATTAAGTTAACTTACTTTCACAAAATAGAAGACATCCTGATCATGTAGACTGAAGTGAATATCCAGGAAATGGGAATTGTTGAAAACTGAGGTAACAACATCTTGAAGAACACCATTGACATTGTCCACAACACTGACAAGTGCACGTCCACTAGGCCCTCTTGAAATAAGCACCCCCTCACCAAATATAGCTCTTCGGTAGGCAACTCTTGGCAATAAATTTCTTGTTCGACTTTCCATTTTTAATAGTGGTTCAGGAACAAATCCTAACTCTGAGAACTTTTGTGAGACCTAAAATACAAAGCAACATTAAAAGAGACTGTTCTACTTTTATTAACAAAAGTTGTAGCAGCTGCATATATATCCTAGAAACTACAAACCTTGTCCACCAAACACTGCAAGCCAGACATAACAGCAAACTCAGGTGCAAGCTGTGTGTTCCTTACAGAAGCAACTGGATGATAAACTGCACTGCTTGTATACAATGATCCAAGCATACTATTTATATCATATCCGAATAAGTTGAGCCAACTTTGTAGATCTAGAAAGGAAAAAAAAATAGTTTTACCAACGTTTTATTATATTTTTGACATTTCTGTGAGAAGTAAAACATATCTCAAACTTACCTGTCATGTAGTTGACTCTCTTCTGAGGAGGATTTATTGGATCATTATTGTGGAATCTATAGATAAATACATCTGTAGGTGCTGTTAATTGGCTGGCTAGTTCCTCCCATGCAGGTGTCATCCATTGCCCTATACTGGGGTCGTATAGACGGCCATTTATGTAAATTAATTGGGTATGAGGGTCAAGCAGGCCTCCATGGAAATCAACAGGCAAGTAGAAGTCAGGGTTGGAGTCCATTTGTACTTTGCCAAATGGAGTTCGTCGGATCTGTGTGAATAAACAAATACTTAGATAGATGTCACGTTACACATGCAGAATATACTCTTTAGAACTTAAAAACCTGGCACCAACCTCTTTAATAATGTTTCCATTTATATCAAAGAGTGCCAATGGTGAGCCATTTTGGTCACAGGCAACATAGAACCTTTGTTCTAATGTTTCCACAGCAATAAGGAACTTCCTGTCATCATAAAGAAGACGGAACGTTCTTCCTGTTTTTGGAAAATGCACATGTGACACAAGGTCAGGTGTGTGAGGATATGCATACAGGAGTTGAGTTATATTATCCTGTGAATCTCTCCATGAAATCATCCTCCCTCTGTCATCATAGGCATACCAAGCTGAGAATTTATCTTGCTCAAAGGCATGTGTCAGTTGTCCTCTAGGATTATACCTATACTTTTGCTCTCCACGACGTATAACAAAACCTCTTGAGTCATAATTTATAAGTTCAACATCACCAACTTGTACAACACGGTCACCTAAATCATATCCAAGTGACTGCTTGTGACCTTGATCAATAGCTCCAATCACATTTCCATTTTCATCATACACAAATTTCCAATTATTAGCTCCACTACCAACAACTTCCATCACATGTCCATCAGCGTTATAAGTTATCCGATCCATTGATGATGTTCTCCCAATCAAAAACTGTTGGGTCTTAATACGATTCCTTTTGTCATACTCCAACTCAAGCCTGTCAAATCAAAAAATATTAGATTAAACACTGAAGACTCATATAAAAACTTTTGTTTGATTCTTAAGCTCACTGAAGTACCTGAACACATCAAATGCTTTTATGTTGATAAGAACGGACTTTATGCGACCATGGCTATCATAATCAATAATTGTAAGAAACTGTTTGGCATTGTCTTGCATGACAGATTTGTTAAACATATTTCGGAATATACGAAGATCACTAATACTCTCAAGCATTCCCAAATTCTGATTGTGTTTAAGGCGTATCTGAGGTAACTGTTTACTATTTATGTCAACATCAACAGCTGAGAGTCGTGCATTTCCATCATATTGATACCTAGAAAAGTAAATTTCAATGTCAGAGGAGAATAGGAGATACTTTAGTACAGAAATAAAAATAAACAAGTACCTGTAATGGGTGTTGTCTAGACCAGTTTTACTTCCAAATTGCAACTTTTCATTCTTCAGGAGGCCTCCATGATATTTAAATTCATGTTTTAGTTCAAAGTGTGGCTCTATGATATCAATGTATTTCAGAACATTAGAATTTTCTTGGTAACTGTAGTGAATTGAAGACATACCTGGAATTTTCATGAAAATTAAATTTTAAACACCATGCAACAACTTATAAATATGATAATCTCGAGCTCTATCAAACCTACCAGCAAGTACAGTATCTAATTTTCCGGTTTGATCATACACGTAAGCAACCCTTCCAGATTGATGGGGGTATACTTTGGCAATAATTTGCCCATCATCATTGTACAGAATTTCAAACGGATGTCTATTGACAGGGGAATAGTATTGATACTTGAAAAATCCTAGAGATGTTTGAAGACTAAATGCATGAATATGTCCTCTTGGAGTAGTTAGTGACTGCAAGGCACCAGCTTCATCATATTGTAACAGATAGTCTGATCCTCTAGGAGTTGTTACCTTTAATGGCTGAAAATAAATTTGAAATATTATTGGTCACACTCAGTTGGGCAATGACCTGCAAATCAAGCATAGAACAAATTTAAGGTGCAATACTTACCAAACTACTGAACTGGTCCTTGAAAGCATACTGTAGTGATGAACCATCAGCATAACGAATTTCATTGAGACGGCCAGCTCTGTCAAAGCCATAGGTTTCACTCAGCTCACCCCACTTCCAGCTTGTAAGACGAGAGAAGCGATCATACTCAAGTTCCACACCAGAGAAAATGCCATTTCTGGGACCCCACTTGATAGGACGGGCTGTCCTGTCATAAGTAATATTTATAAGTTCTACCCTGTCATCCATGAAAACTGCCACTGAATTGGAGTCCTTATCGTACTCCAGAGCAAGAATGTTCTCTCCATTCACCCGAAGCTTTCGTCCAACAGGACCTACAACTTTGGCAATTGCTTTGGTTTTTGTGTTGACTTGCCCTTGCATGCTTTGACCTCGGAAATAACGCCACTCAAAGCTGTTGGCCAAATCTCCACCAACCTCAGTTCTCTGCTTTGCAGGCACAGGATAACTCTCGCCAAGCATAGGATCAATGTCTGAGAGAACATTGTAAGGTACAGTATCTGTACTAATAGTATGCCCCCATGGTGTAGTTGTGGCAACACTACCATCAGCAAATAACACTGTTTTCTGTCGGGCTTCTCCGAGCTTTGTGACCACAGACGATCCTTTGATTAGCAGAGATTCAGGTCTTCTTCCATCCTGTTTAACACGAACCATTGCACCTTTTTGACTTAAATCAAATTCCAGACCAACAATGCGACCAGTTGGAGTCACAGCAGAAGTTAGTCTTCCAAATTCATCATAACTGTAAACATAGCTTCGTCCAGTGCTATCAAGTTTGGATTTTAGTAGACCAGTTGGTCCATGATAATCAAGACTGACATTATAATTGTCAGGTGTAGAAAGCTCAGCAAGGAGGCGCATGCGTGACATTCGAAGGCGACACTTTTGCCCTTTTGTATTTTCAATAGAATTGACTTGACTGGAATAATCTCTCAGAAGAAAAACTTTGTTTGCTTGGGCATCAGTGACAGTACTCAATTTCCCATTACTTGTGTTGACATTGTAAGTGAAAAGATACAAAGTTTCGCCAGTCAGCAGGTTCTTGGTAGCTATGTGTTGACCAAATCTATTGAAGACATATACTTCTTGAGTCTCTGGTTGATAGATTTCATACTCCCGGGTTGCACTAGCTTCAGGAATGCTAGCAGTAACAGAGCGTATCCTGTAATTTGCTTGATCTGCAATATGAACAACCCCATCAGGTGTGGCAGTAATTGATGAAATAGTATTGAATTTTGCTGTAGCTGCAAGGTAATGGTCTTCCTCAAAACAGTCACATCCTCGGTCTAAGCAGTTGCATTTTGATTCTGCTCCAGCAAAGTGGCTTATTTTGCCATCAGTACCAATGACACGTACTCTGTTAATTCGTTGAGAGTCACTTTCTGCAACATATAGATCACCTGAAGGTCCAAAGGCAATAGACTGTGGCATCACTAATGCTGCATGTGTTGCTAACTCTGAATCGTGAGTAGCTGGAGGACCAGTGCACAAAATAGGTCGACCAGCTGCGACTTTGACTCTTCCATCACTTGTCAGTTTCAGAATTACATGATCATCAATAATATGTAGAGAATTGTCTAGAGGATTGATAGCAAGATCTGTGGGCCATCGTAAGTGAACCTCTTCAACTCGCAGAGTTCCTTCACATGGCACTGATTTCCAGTGACTTTTGTGCATGTGGTTTCCAATAACAGTTGTGACAATGCCATCACGGTCTACCATGCGAATATTTGTACCATCAGCAAAGTATAATACATTATCTGCAGCAACTGCAACCCCTTTAGGATAGGCAAGCTTTGCATCTCGCGCAAGAGCTCCATCACCACAATGGGCTTCATCACCAGGGAGACATCTCTCCCCTGACCCGACAGCTGGCTCCCAATTATGATCTGGATCAGAATAGTCATCAACATTCCTTACTCGAATGATTTGATGAGCTTCAGGATCAGATATGTATAATGTATTATCTAGAGGACTAAGTGAGAGATGATACCGATAGGCAACTCTTGTTGCATTTAGCCTGACAACTGTTCTCACTGTGCCATCAGTTAAAATTCGACGTACTAAGTTAAAGTCTCCCACAAATAAGGAACCATCAGGAGCGGCTGCAAGCGCAACTGGAGCCAATAGCCTCTGACTACCTGCTGCTGATTCACCTTCACACTCAGGACACTCGACAGATCGCTGATGTCCATCACCCAAGATTGTTCTGATGATATGTGGTCTTTGTTTGAGGTAAAGATTTGATCCATCGCCTTTCTGCAAGATTCCTTCATGGAAATTATATCTGTGGTGGATATCCAAATTCCAGCCACCCACTTCTGATATACTCATGTCATGCCCACTCAGTTTAGTTGTCTGGACATCCCAAATGATATCTGAACAATTGCTGTACTCATAGCCCACTTTCACAACAGCTGTAGTGACACCATAGACACGCTGCCGGTATACATTGAGTCGATTCCAAGCATAAGTAAACTTAATGACTGGGTCAGCTTCAAAAACTTTCTCAAAAAGTATTCCTTCGATTGTAATGCGCAAGTGAATCAGTTTCAGTGCTGGTGGCACAGCCTCAGGTGTAAGTTGTAATTGAATTGTTGACAAATATCCAGGAGAACGAGAACTGTGATACACCAAATTCAAGCCAGTACCAGGGATCTGGATACTTTCCTGTACCACCTATGAATAAATAAAGATAAAGTATTAGCTTAGTACTAAAACAAGTATAATCATCAAAAGAAACAAAATAAGAGAAATAGTTATGAAAATCATGTAAGACAATAAAAAAAATCTAGGATGATACTAGTTTCATTACTGTGCAAACATACCTGAGATTCAACAAGTATAGCACTTTTATCAGGGCAAGCGCCTTGAAATCCATGTTTCCATGTTGCCAAGACAACAGGTTTCATAATATCATAATCATGTGCTTGACAGGCTTGAGATGGTGGTGAGGCTGAGGCTAAAATCGCAGATCTGTCATCTCCCACTTCCATGATAACAGTGTCAATTACAACAACCTAAGGAAATTTCAACATGATATAAAATGTGACATGGTTGGAACATTGTATCATCAATCTTGGCTCTTTGAATGGAAGCAATAATTACCTCATTCCAAGGCACATTCACAACATATTGAACAGCTGGGAAAGGGGAACGGCCAAATTTCAGAGTGACCGCACCACCCCCATTCAGTAGAAGATCAAACCATCCGTCTTCACGGGTCATCGTGTATCCATCATTTATATTTGTTGTACCAACTCGTACTCCCATCATACCCATTCCCATAGAGGTAACTACTCGGCCTCGGACAACAGCAGAGCGGCTAAAGAAAATAAATAACTATTAGTAACAGCAACATAAGAAGTCATAATGAAAGTAGTTTCAAAAAAATATAATTTTAACTAAAATCATTTGCATCATGAACTAAATTCTACAAAAACTCTTGAGTGTTAAATTATCAGTACTGTAACACTTCAACACCAGTAGCAACACAGAAATCCTTAAAGGTTGATATCAATTTTGAATTACAGGATAAGTGAAGTTTGATTAACACTTAGAGTAAACCAAAACCTACACAAGATGTGATGATATTGCAATGTTCATAAAGAGGCAACAAACACTGAGAGCAAATTGTTATTGATTGCCTCATGAGTATAGGCTACAGCTATAACTCATTCAAGATATGCATATGCATCTATCACTTCAGATATAGAAAAGCAGCATTGCTAGGTTTATCTGTTCTTAAAATATTGTCACCATGTTTCAAGATTGATGAAAAAACTACTTAGTGATCAAGGAAAGGGATTGTGATCCACTCATGTAAAAATTTTTTTTAAAGAAAGAAAAAAAAAGACGACTAAATGATACCAAAGGAAAAGCACCAGAAGGAAAGGGTGGTAACCACACAAGACAAACACAACACAACACAACATACTGACAAAGTCAAAGTAAAAGTCACACAGAAAAATAAAACACAAAAGGGAAAACATCTACTTTAACTCAAGGGTGTATAGGGTCAAGACCCCCAGTGCACCCTTACCTCATATTGAAGTGATTCCAAAACACACTGAAGGCGCAGCCACAGGAAGGGAAGGAAAAGTTGAAAGGTTAAAAATTAAGAAATGAAAAACAGAAGCAGATAATTTTGGATGAATGCAAAGAGTGTTGAAATTAAAGTTCCAACACTAGTTCAATCAATTGAATTTGATTAAAGAGTACCATCAGTTAATGACTAACTTTATCATAAAAATTTATCAAAATTATTTTATATAATAGCTAAGCAGCTTGATATTAAATATCTTTCATTCCTCCCCAAATTTTATTTTGGATAGGTAAAGAAAAACAGAACGAAGAACTGAGTGCACTAGGACACAAACAACAGACAACACATTGGGCACATAAATGCAACACATGGACAGACACAGGACAGATACATGGAACACATACATGGAGTGGCCAAAATAAAAGTGAAATTGGGTATGCTCGGTTTTATACATAGTGGTGGTGACCAATGTCCAGGGTCTAGACTTTTTAGACTGGAATCTACCAGACAAATCTTAAAAAATAATTCAAAATACTGCACTATTATGTTCTTTTCATTCTGTATAAAATATTCTATTTATGTGCAGTACTGGACCGTATGGTATATGTAAAATAGTCGAATAGAAATTCAGGTTTGAGAAGTGATGTAGGTAATGTAGAGCCAACTGAAGCCTATCAGATCAATACAAACAATAAAATTTAATAGATATTACCCTCCCCCACCCAATGATATAACTCCTCTAATTGAAACTGCATCTTTTCTTTGATTGCAACTTGAAGATAGATCATGAGCAGATATAGGGAAATGCTTAACGCGTTCCATGTAGGTTTTTCACATAATATTGAAAAAATCTATGTTTAATTGTAGAGAAATTTCTTTTGGACTGATCTGACATAATGGGCCTTAACAATTTAGTCAATAATCATTCTGAGATTCTCAATTTTATTTTAGGGGGTTAGTGTTCAATTTCATAAACCTTATGTATAAAGAGTAAGTAAAGGAAACAAATCTTATTTTACCTTTCATTTAGAGCATCCTGCTTGGCATATCGCTGTAGACTACCTTCCTCAATAAGGAACTTCATGCGTTCAAAAAATGAAGCTGTAATAGCTGGGGGTTGTTTCCGAAGCAAAATGTCAATTGGCTTAGGAGAAGTAATACATAATTGAGATGACCTGCACTGTGGGTTTGTACAACACTCAGGATCTTGACAATCAATAAGATTGTCTGTAAGAAAAGAAATGAAATAATTATAAAACTTTATGAAGTGGTTGGAAATTAATGACAATATTGCAAGGATGAAGTATAAAACTTACCTTTGTCATTATCCCTCTGATCTGAACAACTTTGCTCAAGGGGTACACCACAGTCTTTCCCATCCCAGCCCTCATAGCAACGACATTCCCATAGGCCTTCTCCATTAACTCGACACTGGCCATGACCAGCGCAACCTTTGGGACAGCCTTCCATTGTACAGTGCTTTCCATTCCAGCCAGTGACACAAAGACAAGTCCCATTCTTACATTGGCCATGTTCATTGCATCTAAAACAGACAAGTAGAAACAGAATACATTAAATGCTCTGTTAAGACATGAAAAAGACCAATTTCAAAATTTCTTAATCATTACCTTTGGTCACACTGTTTGAGCATACAATACTCTCCCGACCACCCAGAATCACATATACAACTATCACCCATGCAGTGACCATGTGGTCCACAGTCCTTATCACACAGTTCTGTGAAAAAAGAAATAAATAATAAGTTCCTTGAAAAATACAATTTAAAAAAAACATATCTTAAAGAGTTTTTATTACCTTTGGAACAGTCATCTCCTGACCACATTCGTTCACAAGTACAAGTCTGTGTTTCCAAGTCGAATGAACCATGTCCTGAGCAATTTGGAAGGCACTGAAGTGCATCACTGTCAGTAACAGAACAATCAGCTCCCTTCCAACCACGTTTACAGAGACAACTTCCTTCGGATGTGCAGTATCCATGACCCGTACAGTTGGGATGTGGACAATCCACTAAAAAAAAAGAGAAAACAAGCATACATAAATAACACAACACTTTCTTAAAATAAAAGCAGAAGAAAATTTATCTACTTCATAATTGGAACAAGAAAAACAAAAGGCACGATAAGAACCAAACATAAAATTGCATTAAAAACATTCATGTGAAAGTTAGAACAAAGAAGCACAGAAAAATATGGTCTCCCATTCCCCAACAGAATGAAGTTAATAGGTAGTAGTAGCCAACTAAAGCAATCCATAGCAAAAACTGCAACATAACATGCTGACATGCAAATCACCATTTCACAGATAGTGTGTATTTTCATGCAAATAAATGAATGAATGATGATACATAGCTTCAACTACTGAAAAAAGGAAATCATAAAGATATGTACGGATAAGGCATGTTTTAATGCATAAACTTATTCTGAGAAGCATAATTTGTAAGAAAGGTAACTAATATCAAAAGATTTTTGAGTTTAAACTCACAAAAACTAAAAAGGAAACGGGAACTTTCTATTAATGATATTAACACAAACTTACCTAGATCACAAAATTTCCCTTTGAAACCATGGACACAAGTGCATTTTCCATTGGTACAATGCCCATGTCCATTACAATCAGGCACTTCACATTCATCATGCCTCAAGCTGCATTCCTTTCCTTTCCATCCTGGATTGCAATGACACTCGCCATTGATATACTCACCGCGCTGACTGCATAGCACTGGACATACACCTTAAAACAAAGAAAATATTTCATGATGAAGAATTGAGTAACGAATTTTGAGACCAAATAAACAATAATATAAAAGGAGTCCTTTGTACATACTTTCACTACAGTCTTCCCCTCCAAATCCTGGCTTACACTGACAGTGCCCCAGTATGCATTCTCCTTTACCCGAGCAACCATTAGGACAATTGGTGGTAAGATCTTCAGAAACTGCAGCCATGAATGAGACTTCTTGCGGATCTCCATCATCATTGTATAAGGAAAGGAACCAGTGACCCTGTTCCAAGTAGTGGCTAACTTCCTTTTTCATGAGCGGCTGTAAAAAAATAAATAAAAAGAATTGTACCATTAGAAAATTAAAATACATAGCAAATAATTATTTGCTTTTTAGCTATGATAAGAGTTTGAAACACCAGAATATTTGGTAAATACAAAAGGGGGAAATAGGACAGGAGTGAAACATTAAAGATGACAAAATAACCAAAAGAAATGTAAAATAGAATCCAATAATAAAACAAAAAATGACTTACATGAGTAGATCTAACTTGACGAGGCTTAAAACCTGACAAAACCTCTAGAATGTCGTAATGAGTGTGAGTTGGAAGAGCATTTCTTCTGGCATAAACGCCAATGGAAGCACCGCGAGGTATACTCCAATCAAATGACACAAATGCTGCCCTTGACTGATAGAACTGCATATTCCAATACCCATAAGCAGGAATCTCTTGTGACAACCTCTGCCCGAGTTGAACTTGTGCAAATGTAGTACCATCAGGAGGGAAAGTCCTCATTGGAACTGTCTTTGCTCCTATTTATTAAAAGGAAACAAAAGAAGTTATTATTGTGATAGAAATAAAATATAAAAAGTGATATATCATTACCTAGTGCATTCATTAAATTCATGAAGTATTAATGTTAAGGACAAAAAGGAGTTAGAATGTGAAAATTCTGCTTTATAAGAATGCAGTGGGGAAATAGAAACAGAAAAGCATAAAGTCGGAGCTAAACTAGACAATGATACTAGTGCAGAGGTAGCTCTACAAATGCAACTTGCAAACATAATCACTACTTTAAAATAGACAAGTTAAGAAAGAGCAAACGTTGTAATGAAAACAGCGCGTTCTTCAAACTAGGTCTTCCTACAATATTCATGCACAAAACAAAAGCCATTACATAGGTAACTGCAGTACATGCACATAGAACCAGAGGAACAAGATATAATCCTATGGAGGAAAGAGATGAGAAGTCAGTAAACACCTGAAATTCAAGGGAGGAACGAGATAGTTAAGATAGGTATGGTTACAGTAAGAAAATGACCCAACTGAAATAGTTGACAGGGCGGGACAAGAGTTAATGTTACACAGTCCAATTTTTTAAATCTTTTAAGATTAATTTTACTTTTTGTTAACGTTCTCACCTTCTAATAAAAGGATGATAGGAGGAGGCTGAGTGGGCTGCACACATTGCTCTTGGGTTGTTGTATCTAGTTGTGGCTCAGTTGTGGGATTGGGTGAAGTATCTTCAAATGAATCCCCTTCTAGCTCAAATGTTGGAAATAGCTCTTCATACAAAGAGTTTTCAGTGACATCGGATATATTTAAGGTGGTGTTTAATATCTCTTTTGATTCAATAAACAAGGGAGAAACTTGGCTTGATGTAACTAAGTTATCAGTTTCACTGGCATCCTTATTGGCAGTATGGGAAGTATGGTTCAGTTTTGGAGTGTAGCGATCAGTATTGACATCAACTTGTCTTGTGTCATTTACATTAGTTGGATCAGCCACTTCATGGTTTCCTGAAATTACGGACAAATTTGAGTGTTGTTCATTCTTTGAACTAGATTTGACATCCAGGCAGGGGCACGAGCACTTGCAATGACCACCCCATGACTGATGTGTAGAAGAAGATGGCGTGGGAAGCAATCCTGAGGGTCTTAAAGTAGAATGTTGAGACAAATTTGAGCTCCCTCCCTTTAAGCCAAGGTGCACTGAAGCAATATTTTGCTGAGGAGGGCTCAGATCAATGGATTCTGCATGCACATTTGAGGAATCTTCATCAGAAGGAACAGCTACAGAAAGAACATAAACCTGTTGATGTTTTTCTTGATTATCTCCATTTTCTTCAGTAGCAATAGTTACATTCACAAGTACACGCTTGGTATGATGAGATGTCTCTAAAAGTACAGATTGATTAGTCACATTTTTATGAGCCAAGGTCTTTTGGTTAGGACTCAAGCCTGAGAAAGATGGAGGTGAAAAGCTTTCAAGATTGGTTTTGTGAGTGTTTCGACTTTGCAGGAGAGTTTGAGAAGTATTTTCAACATGCACCGAATCTGATGAAACATTAAGTACGAGATTAGGAGAAGTCCTGTTGCCACTGAATATATTTCCATTGACTTCATTTTCACCTGAACTTTGAAATGTTTCATCTTTACCAATATCAAGTGTTGATTCATACTGAGTGTCATCCACATGCTCGTTTGAACCCTTCACCGACAATTCTGGATCTTGTTTAAGCTCAATAAATTCAATATTATCAGATCCGTACGCATAAACTGGCGAATCTTGCTGAGGCTTTTCTTCTTCAGAGTTAAAATTTTCTTTTATCTTGTCGAGATCATTATTTAGTGTGTCATCCGTTACTGCAATTTCAAGGGGAGCAGGAGGAATCTCTCTTTCCACATCACTTTTAGTAGAACCATCTTGATGATCAAATACTTCAGCATCTACAAAAGGTACTTCAGAGGTATCCCCTAAGCCAGCTGAAGTTGGGTTAATATCTCCAAATGTATGCAAATAATTATTTGGAGCCTTGTTAGTGCCACCAAGATTAATTTGATTAGTCACTGCCACACTTGGTTCAGTTGAGGACATATACTCAAGTACTGCATGCTGCAAGCTACCACCAGAACCATTTTCTTCTACATCATCTTCTTTCAACATGGAAGGAAAAGCATCCAAACTATACCCAACACCATGCAAATCCCCATCATGCAACAAAAGATGGTCAGATTCAAGCTCAATAGACTCTACAGATGCAGGGCTCTCTATAGAGGGTGGATTATCAGTAATTACTGAAGTGCTGTAAGGTGATGAAACTACTTCATGCTTTGTTCTAGTGTCTCTACGTTTTCGAGATTTAGAGTTCAAACCAGGCTGCATGTGCGTTGTGGCAACAAACGTTTTACCTCCTGACGATGTAGCTGGCCTTGGACGGTTAGTGGATGACCGATTCACCGATACTTCTGGTGAAGTAGTTTTGGGAAATGGCTCAGCATTCTCATTCACATGCACAGTGCATGATTTAGAACTTTGATAGGACCAATAAACAAGGTTGGCTGCTGTACAAAAGACAACACAAGTAAGACATTGGGCTTATTAACCATAGAGTTGTGTAAAAAAGTGACCCATTTATTCTAAAATAACTTAAATTTAGCCACTATAAAGTAAAGATAAAAAAATACTGACCTGACATCATGTATGCAATGATAGCAATGAGAACAATTGTGATGGAAATAAAACATATTGATGTGCATTTCCATGAACATCTAGCGGCCAATCCTTTTCTAAAATGCAACCTTGGTTGTGAAAAGTGGCCTGAGTTAGGTCTCCTTAAATTATTGCGAACTGGCAAAACTGGGACAGCAGCTCCAAAGGGCAGGGTGCCCCTACAGATAACAGATAATAAACTGGTTAGTTCAAAGAATGTAGAAAATTATAATTTCATGGATGTTTACAAGAAAATCAATGTGTTGCAAGTACACAGATAACATTCCCCCTACCTTTCAGATTTTTTCAAATTTTCTCCTTTTGAAGGACTACTACATGAAGAATTGGATTTGTAGTCCAGCTGAGAATTCTTCGAAACATCTAAAATAAAAAGAAGCGCCATTAGTAACAGCTGACCCGATGGACGAACTCCCGTCGTACTCACACACGTAGATCTATCAAGATGATACCTGTGGGTATGTACACGTTGCCGGACGGGGTGCGCACGAGACACGACGGCTCGAACTCGCCGTCCGGGTCCTGGCCACCCAGGCCCACGCCCAGGTTGGTCATGTTGGCCATGTTGGGCAGCGTCCCGTGGCCCCCCTGGCCGCCGAAGGTGTTGAGGCTGCCGTGGACGCCGTGGCCCCCATGGCCCCCCAGGGAGCTCATGGGCGGCAGGGTGCTGCCCAGGCCGCAGTGGCCGCCGCTCCGGCCGTTCATGCGACTCATGGCCACGTTCCGCGGCGGCACGTCGGGGGGCGCTCCATCCAAGAGGCAACCTGCAACACAGATAGGACAGCGTGAGGGGGTTGTCAAGTTAAGGCGGAGCGGCCGCCGCATTCACACGGCTGCTTGGCGGGCTGGCCTACCCAGCGCGTGGCAGGCGCCGTCACTGGCACCGCCTCGAGAAACGCTCTCCTGGAGCTAGTCTGCTTACATGGCTACCGAATTTCTTTAAAGTTTGCATGACACCGTCCCCACGCGCACTTTGGCTCGCCCTCCCTCACCTGGTGGTGTGTTTCGGCGAACACCCACCCACGTGCGAGAGGAGTTCCACAGATATATCGTGGGTTTCGAACGACGTTCTTTACCCCCTTCCATAACTTACCCCCACCCCCGTTTGATGTAGTTGAGGAAAGAGGTGTGTGTGTGTGGGGGGGGGGGGCAGGCATAGGTGGAGAGAACTGTTTGCAGGTGTGGCGCGGCGTGTGCACGGCCCCATAACTCGAGCGCGCAGAGCTCGACTTTCGATAATAGAATTGAAGCTTTTTGCTCACTTTCCTCGGACCCCGCGCCCTCTCAGCCTTTTTGGAGGAGAAGAGAGGGAGGTCGAGGGGAAAGGGAGAGGGGGGGGGATGCTGTACTGCGTGCCCCACCCAATAGCCGTCCGAGCGCAACTTCATATTTTCGCACCGATTTTTATTACGGCCGTTATGTAGGGCAATGGTGCCTGTCCCACTTCCCCCTCAACTCCCTAAAGGCCACTCACCTGAATAGGCAGGCAGGCCGAAGCCAGGACTTGTAATAACTATCCAGTCCCATAGTGCTCCAGCAGCTCTCTACTATGGCAGGGGCCCGCTGAAGCTGAAGAAGAGAAATGGAGGGGGAGGAGAGAGGGGATGGAGAAGGGGGAAGGGGAGGGGGAGGCCCTACAACTAGTTCTAGCCTCGCCATGCAGTATGTATTGGCTTTCATTAAAACTACGCGCCATGGCAGCACCACACCAGCGCCTCTCTGAGCACGGCCTCGACCTCGGCGCGTAGGACCGGCAAGGTCCGACTGTGAAACCTAACACCACCGCGGCCCCCGCCCGGCCCCCGGTGCAATATTCAGGAACAAACTCACACACGACTGCCGAGTATGGGAGCGGCTGGTGCTGGGCTGCACACTGAGGGAGGGGCCTGTGCCCGCGGCGGCCTGAGGCCTGGCCGCTCGCACCCGGTACTCACCACTTAAGCAAAAATTAAATAATTCGCCTAGTGTTTTAGAAGAGAAAGACACAAAAAAGTGTATGATTGAAGGCAACTCTATCGAGCAGGGGTTCTGCTCAAGTCGCGAATCATGTTCATTACTTTTAACGGAGTGCGTGCATGGCAGCATTTTGTGTATAAAATATGTGCAAAAAAAACATTAATCCGCGGGCGGCGGCGCCGACGCACCCGAGCCGCCGAGTGGCGCCAAACACCCCACACTCCAATTACTCGTAATTGCAATTATGCGGTTTTCACGGGGAAGACGCTCCACCATTAGGGTATTGCGAGGCTTCAAAGAGATTAGCAGGCCTAGCGACGGAGGAGGCGCTGCGGCGGGGAGGAGGGGAGGGGGGGGGCGCAGCTCGAGTGGGTATGAGCGGCACCTCACCGGCCTAAAACCTTCAAAGAGTGTGAGAGGGGGGTGCGTGGGGGCTGGGGGCGGCGCGGGGCGCGCCCGCCGGCACTCGCTCGACAAACAACCCCGCCCCCACCTCCCCTCGTAACAGTTATGTAACTTGCGTGCGTTACAGCGCGGGCCTTACCCCTGCGCGTGCGTCGTGGAAGCACGGAGCGAGCTTACGGCTTACAGAGCGAGCACGAACTGTGTATGTAATTTGCGTCGCCCCGAAACTTATACTCTTTTTATTTTTTATCACTTTTAATAATCTCTAGACAAACCGTAATTAGGAGTATTTTCTGCGGAGACCTCCCCCCTTTCCCCTCCCCTTTCCTCACTGCCGGATGGACGCACCGGCTGCCCCGGCAGTCTCGTCTCTCCCCCAAGACCACCGCCGCACAGTATATACAGAGTGCGACAAAAACAGCCCGCTACTCTGGCTTGATGTACACGCGGGATGGCGGTGGCGACGCCAGAGGAAGGGGGAAGGGTGTGGGGGGACTCTCCCCTTTTATATTCTAGTGCG